TTCTTAATGGGTTCAGTTGACTATTTAATCTGCAATTTCCTATGACCTGTATCCCAAACACACACCATGTGAAACTGTACGTGGGCAACTGTGCACTCTAAGCTGCAGATGAGAAATATAACTAAACCCCATTCTGCCACAACACCACAAGGTCAGTTTTTTTCTCCCCTTTGGAGTAAAATGTGGATGCATCTTCAAAAAATTAATTGATTAGGTGATACAACCATTACGGTTCATGGTTCCCGTAAGGTCTGTCTTAAGGTCTAGCACTGATCATCACCAGGTTATCCATTAATTTGAATCTTGGCAAGCTCAGATTTTAAACAAACAGGTAGGTTTAAATATTTTTGTTCCCTTTCATGTGTCCTGATTTTGTTTTTATAAACAGTAACATCTGCGTCTCTAGCTTGAAGCTGGGACTCAGGGATCATTTTTGGGTTTTTTGTAAATGTATCACTTATCAAGAAAAACAATCACAGCCTTATGTCTTCTTGAGTATGACCCAACAAGCTGCGCACACCTGGATTTGGGGATTTTCTGCCATTCTCTGCACCTCCTCTCAAGCAGATCCATGGACAGCCATTGTCAGCTCTCCCCACTGAGCCATTCACAGAGTTGTCCCTAAACCACCTCTGTGTTATCTTGGCTGTGTGCTTAGGTTCATTGTCCTGTTGGATACACACTATGATACACACACAAACTGATTACATGAACATTTGATGCTCACCTCTGAGAATCTGTGACCTTGATCTTGTATCCTTTAGCAACGGCTTGGGTTTACAATTGGTGATATAGAATAGTGTGTGTGGGGAAAGTAAATTCAAAATGAAAATCATCTTACAAACTGAAAAGTGAATTCAATCAGGACAGACAGAAGAATGAAATAAAGATAACGTATATTACGGGATATGAGTGTATAGATTGACAGATAATTTGTGCTGATAAGATTTAACAGAAGTTTTTGGCGCTTGGACTTCAGAGGGAGACTTTATTGTGATTAAGGGCGCATGCGGCAGCAAGAAAAATCCCCCTATGGAGTCTAGACAATGGTAGAGGTGGTGGTGGCTGATAACTTTGTGGTTGATGGCTGATGAGACGAATGAGGCTGATTCTGAGAAGACTTAATGGTGATGGGGAGGTGGAGGGTGCACACGCTGCAGCGTGAAAGGACTGCGGCAGAAATAGAACCGCATTTAAAATGAGAACCAGCAAGAACCAAAGTTACTTTATTTCCATCCCATACCAAGAATAGGATCTTTGACGGCCATGTCTGTATTTGTACACATGACTCGCAGCAGTATTTTGAGTGCAGTAACCGTTTTGGCCACATTCTTACATACAGCACCTTTAACTTTAAAGCAGGCCTAAGAAACTTTAGGAGTAAACAGTGACATCTGGTGGCTTTAATTAGACATTGCAGCTAAATGCCAATGACGTAGCATGTCAGCCTAACTCAATTAACCGCAAACGTCGGACAGAACATGATCTAAACACGGTAATTTGACACTTTGTGCAACTATTATATTTTAGGCAATAGCATAACTCAAAATACAGTCTGCTATATTAGGTTAATTGCAATAAAGGCCTGAAAAAAAGGGAAAACAAGCATCAGTTAATGATGATTAGCATGTTTGCCCTCAAGTGAAAGAAGAACAATATTCTTCAAACTCTCAAAAGAAGAACAAACAAGAAACTACTTCTCTCAGTGTGTCTGTTATTCATTTAGTCAGTCAATAAGTGGCTCTCTGTTCTGACACTATAAGGTATCTATGGTGTCATATACTCCTGAGACCTTAACTTTGTTTGGCATACATTTTTTATTTGTCCTAGCTATTTTGGATCAGTAGGACCCGAAAAGTATAAATAAAAAACTCAACATTGTCAATGATAATTAAGTCCCAGCGTCCTCAAACGCGCACTTCTGAATTAACAGCATCTCAGCTTGTTACTGCTGCTAAAATTGGTCCATTTTGTTGCCATGTCAATTATTAATTATTAATCATAAATAAGAAAGTTTCAACCATAACATGTGGTCAGGTTTTGGACTTTTGGACTTTTGGACTTTTGTGTTGGGATTGGCTCCAGACTGACTTGGGAGAGATGGCTGCCATCTTGTTTTTACATGGATTAGTGTATTGTGGTCTTACTATGTTACTTACTACTACATGGGTCAAAAAAGTGTCCATGAACAAGGACAACAGGTCTGAGTTAAGTGGAATGAAATATAAGTTGCAGAGAACTCAAAATGTGATGTCCTTATATGAGGACTCAGGGTCTCAAGAGGATAAGGTAGGCTATATTTATATTGTGGCATTGGTTGTTTTACTTAAAGGAACCGTGTGTAAGATTAAGATATGATTTAGTAGCATGGTGAGGATTGCAGATCTGAACCAGCAAAACTTCTCCCTGTTAGAATTCCCCAAATGTTCATTGTTGAAGAGGTCAAACAGACCGGGTGATCTCATCTTCTCCAAAACAAATGGACCCAGTAATTAAAACCAGTAAAAACACTGTATAAAGCAGTTTAACACTATAAAATCTGTGTTTTTGCAATGCTGCTTGTTGTGGAGGGGCTTATAACTAAGGTGGCTGATGAGAAAATGAGATTACCTCTAACTAGAGCCAGTGTCTGGTTTGTCCATCCTGGGCTATTGTATAAATATGGCAGTGCAACATGGCGATAGAGGAGGACCTGCGCCGCATGGAGATATAAACAGCTCATTATAAGGTAACGAAAACCCAGCGATTCTTATTTTCAGGTGATTATGTCCTTAAGCCAACATATTTCCATTTCTGCCTATATATCTACTTAAATCCCACACACTGAACATTTAACATCATTTTTCATCTGTAAATGATATGCATGATTTTTGCTGGGTTTTAATCCCTGATCTCTGTCCTGCTGGTTTCCAGTTTAAGTTTGTTTTACTTTGTTATTGTATATAAAGTCAGCTGAGAGGTGGTTACTTCCAGGTATTGACTTTGTCAGCTACAAGTCATGCATGCCACAGGTCAAATATACAAATGTAAACTGTAATGTACCTGCACGTATCACCTCTGGAACGGCAGTGATGCATGTTTCATGTTCACATGATACTTGGTTGATGGGCAAATATTGACTGAAAGCATAAAACAATAACCTTTTGTTATTTTAACTTCAGATAGAGTTGATGGGCATGAACTTTTTTGGCAGTAAGAGAAGTCATGTTCGGCCACCTATGACTCCTTACATCCTGTTACATTACTGAACTCTGCTGGATCACATGGAGGTCTGGTTGCTCCACTGGTGCATTCAGATTCAAGTGCCATCTACTGCCACTTAACATTTTTCTCACCACCCTTCCCCTGAAGCCTTTGCCTGTCTGCCTTATTCATGTTTGTTGAATGCTGACCTCAGTACACATGCTTCACCTTCCACCAGGCACTTCTACTTCCACTCCCTCTGGACAGCCCAGTGTTTGGCCTATTAGACATTTGTGTAAAATTGTGTCATAATCAGTCAATGGACCTTGATCTTTGACCTACAACCACCAAATTCAAATTAATCAATTCATTCTTGAGTTCAAGTGGACATTTGTGCCAAAATTAAAGAAATTCCCTTGAGGTGTTGTTGAGACACTCTGTTCACAAGAATGAGACAGATGCAAGGTTACAGTGACCTTGACCATTACAATCTAATCAGTTCATTGTCAAGTGGACAACTGTGCCAAATTTGAAGAAATTCCCACAACGCCTTGTTAAAATCTCACAAGAATGGGATGGATGGACATACGTACAAATGGGTGGGGAGACCAAAGTTGCCAAGCAGAAGACTGGTGGAGTCCTGTCTGTTTAAGAGTGCAACACATAAATAGAAATGTAATTTATTTTGGGGTTTTCTTTATCTCTTTATCTCTTTCTATGCCATCAAAGCACATTTTTATACAAGTACATTTACCTGAATGAAATGTCTTTAAAGTGACAGTACTTTTCACTTGAGTGTATTCTAGTACTCTGAAAATGTTTTCAATATTCATGACTACGATTTTATTGATACCAGTGCCATTATTAATTCTGCTTAACCTTAACAGGCTTCCCCTACCTGTGCAGCAAGCGTGAGTAGGAGAGCCGATGGGTGATTCAAGCGGGCTGTACAGTAACCTGAGAATGAGCTGTAACAACAGTCTGTCTGTCATCGTGTAAAATGGATGAAATAAGATAGTATTTGTACAGTTTTCTCAGTCCGAAATAGCCCTCGAAGCCTGTGTACATGGCAGTGATGTTATTAAAACAGGATATTTACCCTCAGTAACGGATGTGCTGCTCAGTCAAGAAGCAGTGGCATGCAGGTGTAGAGTGTCAAGACATGGCTTTCCTGGACTTAAAGCCCAGGACAGGAAAAATCACATCCATTTAAACTCAAGCTAGTTATTGATGTTAAAATAATCATTGACAGAGGCTCTGGCCTCTTACTTATTTAGTTTATTGATTGTGAGGAGTTCATTGGTATTGTCCAACAAATGATGGACATGACTTCGCAGAATTATCAGCTATGCTCTGCTCTCCTGCATGCTTGTTTAGTAATAGAGACAGTTGCTGTTCTAGCTTGTAGGTTTGGGTGTGTGTATTTTTCTTGGTTATTACACATCAGGTCACCTGTGCAGTGGTTACTGCCAAACAATGGCTGAAGGTGTCAACAATCAGTCATGCAAATCGATCAAATGTATAAATGTGTCAGTTCCAATGTTGTCTTTCAGGCAATTCCTGCAGTTGCTGAGGAAGCTCTTTGACTGCAGTTGTGACTGAAGAATCTTTACTGGCTTCAGAACTGAAAGGATGGGAACACTTTTGGTTGCGGTGGGTCTGCTCTGCCTCTGTGGGGTCTCCATGAGTTATGGTAATAAATAATACTGTTTCCTTACTCTATGTAGCCACATATGTAAGTGCTGTTATGTATTTTACCACTTACTAAATTAGTCAAATTTAAGCCTATATGCACAGGTAAATGTTTATGTGTTTCTCTTTCCATTTGTTCATGAGTGTAAATTCATGTAGACAATCGCTCCTGAGGGATGTGGATTTCCCAGGATCAGATATCAAACATGTCACCTCTCCTGATGCTGAGCACTGTCAGCTGCTTTGCACCCAGCACCCTGCCTGTCGCTTCTTTACTTTCCTTCGTCCAGACTGGACCAGAGATAACAGGTATAAAACTAGAAACTTATTACAGAGTGATTAAAAGGTGACATATGACATGACAATGAAAATAAATCAAAATGAAAGTTCTAACAAATACACAACCTTTGTCTAACCAGAGCTGCCCTTAAACCTTTGTCTACCTTGTTAAATGCCAATTGTTGACCTTGGTACGCCTGGCTCTGTCTCCACCAGGCAGTTCTTCTGTTACCTCAAGGCCTCTCCCTCTGGACAGCCCAGAGTTCAGAATACACTGCACGGTCACACCTCTGGCGTTTCTCTGAAACCCTGCAACCCAGACCCAAGTAAGTGCACAACCATATTAAACCACCATTAAAACCATCAGCAATTAATAGCATGTGGTAAAACTCCTCTTATCTCTCTGTCGGGCTGTCCATCTGCTAGAGCCCTGTCTGCGTGGGGTGTATCATCATGTGGACTTCCCTGGGGCAGACTTCCGGACCTTGTTCACAGCAAACTATGAGGACAGTCAGAGAGAATGCACACGTGATCCTGCCTGTCAGGGAACTACAGAGATGAAAGGACCAGGTAAATTGATTGACTCCAGTGTCCTCATTTGAGTTTACCCACAAAGGTGTAATTCAACCAGCAAGAAGGCCATTTTGAGTTATGACGTTTTGTAACGATGTTGTTTCTCTTATGTTAAGGTACAAGTGCTACCTCAAATTCAGCTGGACAGTGCCAAGGACACCTACGGTGTTGGCAAAGGGTGGTATAGTATCTGGATTCTCCCATAACCTACCAATCAATAGTGGACACTGTACCACAGGTAATCTAATACTCCTACCAAAGGTAGTATTGACTGGAGCAACAACCAGTGCGGGTTGTTGTCGCGCATGCTTTCTCTTTGGACTGCTTGTTTTATACAGCATGTCAGGGCAAACTTTTTCCAAACATTGACGTCCCAGGACACAACGTCGAGGTTCTGCCTGCGGCCTCTCCTGAACACTGTCAGATATTGTGTTCTGCTCATCACCACTGCACCTTCTTTGCTTACGTCAGGTAGAGTATGTTGGCTGTGGTCATGCATATTGTTATTTTCCTACACTTGGGGCACTTGAAATAGGGAGTGTGGGGCTTTCCCCAAATAGCAGTGTCTTGAGTCACGTGCATTAAGGATACATTTCACCCACAAAATGACCATTTGTAAATCTGTAAGTTATGCTGTGCTACTTTGAATTTGTGGAGAAAATGTCTCCACAGAAAACGGCAAAAATGTATGATTTATTGAATGATTGGGGAACCAAGGGTGTTGTATGGCATGCATTATTCCAGAATTACAATAATTTCTAGCACTACTAAATTATGTATTTCCTGCATTTAGCCAGTTTTAGCTTTTTTTTTTTACATTAGTTTTAAACTGATTAAGATTAATATAATCTCTTACATTTGTAGGTAGAGCATTACATTGTTGTTGCTATAACTGAAAAGGCAGTTTGAGCATGAGCAATGTTTCATGTAACAGTCTCCCCTATGATGGTTTTGTTTGTCTTATTTCCTTATGAACTGTTAATATAAATTGATTCAGGAGTGGGGAAGCTAAACTATGGAGTATCTTGTATATTGAATAAACATTGAGCAGCAAGAGAGCAACAAAAACCACAGTCAAATTCCATGATTGTGTAGGCTACGCACTAGCTACAAGCTGATTTTGATTTTGATTCTTGTCATGCATGTCGTAGCATCACCTTAAAGTGACTTGATTTTTATTCGTTTTTTATGTGCCCCAAATGTATGCAAATCTGAGAAACGCCCCTGCACACACCTGTGGAGTGCTGGGATGTGCCTCTTAACGAAGATGAATGTGGACAGCAAACGTCGCAAGGTTGAAAACTACAGGCAATTTATTATATATACTGATAAATATTACTATTATTTGTTAATAAACTAGCCCCTGCCCCCATGTCATTTTGCAAAGTGGCCCACAAAGCGAGTTGAGTGTCCTTGCTGTAGGAGTTAACTACCTCCGGAAGATGGCAGTAATGCAAAGGATGCAAGCTGCTGTTAGACACCAACGAAGAAGAGGAGGCGGACGCAGCAGTAGCTAGCAGCGGCCGCCGCAGGGAGCCGGTCCACAATTCTCTTAGGATTTTCACATTAAATCATCAAAACGTCGTACGCAATGAGGTAATTATACTCCAGTACATTTAATAATATATTCAGTTTAGTTTGACAGTCATATATAACCAATGTGTTGACTGTAGGTATTAACTCGTAGGCGGAATTATGTTAGCGTAACATGAAGCTAGCAGCGTGCATTGTTTGAGCGATGGCTACTAGCTAACGTTAGCATGTGAGAGATGTAAGTTAGCCTGCTCAATAGCGCTATTTATTATTATTATGTGTTGCCGCCGTGAAGCATATTAATTCTTATCATCTTTGAATTGTGGAGTTTTGTTTTACCTTGACGCAAGCAAGTTAACAGCTACACTGTGGGCTAATGTTAGCTACATCGCCCAGACAAGTAGCTAACGTAAGTGAATGAATGAATGAGTGTAGCATTTGAGTAACGTTACGTTAGGTTAGCGAGATAATGTTAGCTTGATAGCTGGGAGCATTCCCCCAGAAATCAATCACTTTCTTACTTAACCTCTTTCCATTTAAACACATATATATTTTTACACGTCAACCTGTATAAGTAAAAGTTACATTGTGGTTTGATTAACCACAACGGTCATCCATTGAGAAGATAAGAGGCCTCAAAGATGACCCATATTACACAGATATCTTCTTCAAAAATAGCAGCTGTGTGTTTTTCTGATTATAACTAACGAACAAGGTTATCCACAACTTCAGTAGTGTTGATCCACAATAAATAAATAAATATGCAAATTTGGCATCTTTTCTGTCCTTTAATTAGAATTTGCAAAAAAAAGAAAAAAAAGGCTAAACTCAGATTCATTTATTTGTTTATTTTTTTAAGATGTTAAAAAGTTAGACACTTGTGTGCATCTCCTGAAGTGTTAACGCTGTGCCAATATTGGTCAGACAACAGCAGACTTGTGAGTATATGGTCGGTAGGTCAGTCAAACATACAATTCCTTAATGCTGCCTATGATTTTTTTTATTTTACCTCAGATTAAAATTCACATTTGTTTGCCATCACAACTGAAAATTAAAATGAAATTTAATCAAAAGGAAGCCCAAATCAGCAGAAATTTCTAGTGCAAATTCGTGCAAAGGTGCACAGATCTTTACTTTTTTTATTTTGAAGCCACTGGTTGGAAAAAAAACTCTTTGTTTATTTATTTTGGAACAAAACTATTGAAATTGTGGAGAATTTGTTAGCTTTCCAATCAGAAAGCCGAACTGTTATTTTTATATTTCAATAAGATGTCTGTGTCAGGAGTGGTGGGCATGTAATATGGGTCAACTTTGAGGCCTCTGTCTTGTCAGTAGTTGGTGAGTGTGGTTAATAAAACTATGTTTTTACACTCTTAGATATAGGTTAACATGTAGGAAAATAGCTGTTCATATGGAAATGGGTAAGTTCATAAAGATGCTGATTTCTGGCAGAATTAAATGATGCCTAAACTAAGATGCCACAGCAACATTAGCATAGATGAGCATGTGTTTTTAAGAAGTTCTGACTCTGTGTTTGTGTCCAGAGGGGACCGCGGCAGGGGCCGGGGAGGCCGCTTTGGGTCCCGCGGAGGTCTGGTCCAAGGGTAAGTTCAGCCACCAAGCTGCTGTTCACTTTTATTCATTAACATATTAAAGATATCGATTGAAACAACCTAGCAGGACTCTAGCATGCAGGTAGATTCAGGTTCATAATGTTTCCCTCACACACCACAGTGTTCTGATTTCTGGCACATCTCTGAAATCATTTGAAGCTGTCTCTAATTTTGACTTTATATAATTCACTGCTAACAGATGGGTTAACTAGGGCTGGGTGAAGAATTTTGTTCTAAACATACTATTGCAGCCCTGTATATAAAATGTATGATTTTCCCTAAGCAGCATTAACCTGCAGACTGTTAAAACACACATTTCCGGGGCGTCGGTGGATTAGTGGTAGAGCAGGCGCCCCATGTACAAGGCTGTTGCTGCAGCGGCCCGGGTTCGAGTCCAGCCTGTGGCCCTTTGCTGCATGTCCCCCCCCTTCCACACTTAACTGTCCTGTCAATTAAAGGCAAAAAAAAATCTTTAAAACACACATTTCCTTACTGGGACAATGAAGTGTATTTGATTCCATGGGGAAACATGCTAAACTCTTAATAGCCGTATCCTGTTCAGTTTCTTCCCATACGTGAATTATTACAGTGTTAACTGAAGAGTCCATTCCAATATAATATTTTATTAGACAGGGCAGTGCACACTTAGGTGATCGGCCTGCCTTTACATTAGTACCTAATTTAAAATACATTTGACTGCTGAAAAACTAAAAGATACAGCCTTCCCTTTCCTTTGCTTCCTTCATGATGATAATATATAATTTGGTTTGGTAATGGTTTGTGCGTAGGGTTTGAACAAAACACTTTTCAGCACTCACCCAAGAGCAGCCCTTCAGAGACAGTGTCCACCTGCTGTATGTTGTTGAAATGAGTGCAAAATTGACTGTTTTTTAACCCCCCAAAATGGCTCTAGTCTGCATACACCTGTCAGTGTGTATTAGGAAACACTGTTGTTCAAAGAAAGCACTACATGTGATGAATCTCAGGAACAAACCAAAAAAGAATCTGAAATGAAACAGGTTCTATACAGCTGATACTGAGTGTTTTTTTTTTTTATTTAGTCCATCATGCTTTTTTTCTTGCTTCATTCCTGACAAGTTCCTCATGTCATGATTTATTTCCAGGTAGACCTTTTTTTGTGTATTGTGAGTGTTTTAAACCTTGAGCACTTTTCCTTAGTCAAACAGAATCATTTTACAACCTTAATAATAAATATATTGTTGTGAGAATAATGACTAACTTTTGTCTATATCACCCACTAATTCGATGTGAAATAATGCCATCCATCCAACCATCCTTGATGCCCCACGTTAGTTGAATATTTCTGTGGTCATTGCTTGAAGTCATTATTACAAAATTACAAACTGTTGTTCTTTTCTACATTCCTGTTCAGGTACCGTCCATTTGTCCCACACATCCCGTTTGATTTTTATGTGGTGAGTAACAAAACTTGTTTAACACAAGAAATGCATTTAAAGAGTAAGTACAGCCACAAGCACTTTTAGATGTGGTTGGCTGAAGTTTAGAAGAAGTGTTCTCTGCACCTGTAACCCCACCCAGCAGTGATGTCACAGTCCTGGGGTACACCTGGGCATCACTGCAGGCAGATGATATGTTTTTGTGTGATTAATGTTAAGGAGACCATGTTCTCGGGCTGGGCAGTATATTGTTATTATATTGATATCGGTATATGAGACAAGATGTTTTCCTGGTTATAAAGGCAGCATTACAGTAAAGTGATGTAATGTTCTGAACTTGTTCTAGCTGTTTTATTATTTGCCTTCACCCACTTGATTATTTATTAAAAATCTAATTGTGTAAATATTTTGTGAAAGCACCACCAGTCAACCCTACAACATTGTCACAATACACATACAGAGGTAATTGATAAAAAATATTGTGATATCTGATTTTCCACGCATCGCCCAGCCCCCTCATAACACCACTGTAGTAGTGTCACAACTCAGAGTACTGAAATAGGCTGTTGTTTATCCCAAGTGTGAGATGGCCTTCCCCAGAGTAAAGCCTGCACCTGACGAGACAGCTTTCAGTGAGTGTCTGCTGAAGAGAAACCAGGACCTGAGCCCCACACCTGCAGAGCAGGTCAGTCCACAAACACATGCTGACTAGATAACAATCTGCCTCACCAATTTCTGTTGACTGCTCACTGACAGAAGCGATGTTTATTGGTATCTTCCTGCATATAGTCCTCCATCTTGTCCCTGGTCACAAAGATCAACAATGTCATTGACAACCTGATTGTTGCACCGGGCAACTTTGAAGTGGTGAGTGGTTTTTCTTCACATTACTATAGTTCAGTGTGTACAGTGCACCATATAACTACATATTGTGCTTGTATGATGATGTGTGTGACAAATTAAAGATTTAAATGAATTGATGAACTGTTCTGCCAGAAGATCGTACCAGTTTAACAGTGTGTCAGTGTGAACAAAAATGATCTCAGGAGTTTTTATATATTTAGAAAACTATACAGTGTTACTTGGATAAACACAGTGTCATATTAAGTATCTTAAAAAAACGTAGTTTAGTGTAAATATTTGCTGTTTCACAAGTTTTAAAAATAAATAGATGTGTAGCCTGCAAATATTATGAGCTGGTTAATAACGCTACATTACGTACATGTTAAAAATGTTGTACCTGTGTCCCTTCATAGCAAATTGAAGAGGTGCGTCAGGTGGGGTCGTACAAGAAGGGCACCATGACGACCGGACACAATGTGGCCGACCTGGTTGTAATCCTCAAGATCCTCCCTACATGTGAGTTATTTGAGGAAGTAATGTCATCTGCTTAATGTGGATATTGATTCTAAGTCAAGACATTTGATTCATGAATTCTTTACATTTAGATAATTGATTGATTCTTTGCGTATTTGACAGTGTTTTAGTACTCAAGTGCAAGAGACACGTGTTGATTTGTTGAAAAAAGAACTGAGGTTTAATACAATATCCAGCTGCCAATGAAACAGTCTTGAGTTGGTCAATGTGAATGGCATTGCCCTTTCTTGTTTCATTGTCTTTTTATTACATTAATCAAAGTGGCGAGAGAAAGTTAGGCAAGCTTTATTTAGAGTCCTTTGTAATGTAACCTGTGTAATGATGGATGGATGATGATTGTTTCCTTTATAGTGGAGGCTGTCGCTGCTCTTGGCAACAAGGTGGTGGAGACCCTTCGCACACAGGATCCTACTGAAGGTAACACTGAGGAACTGTTGGGGTGAACAAATGAAATATACAATTTGAAGGGGACTTACTATGCTTTTCCTTGTTTCTGTCATTAATATAATAATAATAATATATATGATGCACCGATTATTGATTACCGCAGTGGCCTAAAGTTAACTGGCGATGTCAAACTGCTTATGTAATGTATATGTGCTGGTTTCAGTGCTGTCCATGCTGACCAATGAGACGGGCTTTGAGATCAGTTCAGCTGATGCCACAGTCAAGATCCTCATCACCACCGTCCCTCCCAACCTGCGCAAGCTGGACCCTGAGCTGCACTGTATGAGCTTACACACACACACACACACACTCAGCATGTTTCCACATCTCTAGCATAGACTGTGATCTCTAGTCTAGTCAGAGACGTCCTTTACCGTCATCTCTGCACCATTTGTGATTGTGTATTTATAATAATAATTAAACAGTGAAAAAGGACAGCTGAGAAGACACCCTGGTAGTTGAGGGGTTACAGTGCTTGTTTTGAACCACAAAGTCCCTTTAAATCCAGATGGGGATGCAAAGGTTAAATTTTGTTGTTGTTTTTTCAGTGGACATCAAGGTGCTGCAGAGTGCGCTTGCTGCCATTCGCCACGCCCGCTGGTTCGAGGAGAATGCCTCTCAGTCAACGTAAGGACGTCTCTTGTAACACCCATTAGGCCTGCTGTTTATTACTAGAGGTTGTGCATGCATAGGCACAAATACACAACAGGTTCTCATAATGTATTGGATTTTTTTGATGTTACAATTTTCAGGGTCAAAGTGCTAATTCGCCTGCTGAAGGATTTGAGGCTGCGCTTTCCTGGTTTTGAACCTCTCACTCCCTGGATCCTGGACCTGCTGGTAAGACCTCATGTCGGCTGCATCACACTTCCAGAGTCCTGACATTTGACCCAGATTTAAAAAAAAAAGTAATTGCATTTACAATTTAAGCCTTGACTGGTACACTGGGCAGGAGCTGTAGAGGGTTGTGTTAATACCTGTGATGAGGTCACAGCGGTGACGCTTTTCTCCCTTGTGTTCCAGGGCCACTCTGCGGTGATGAACAACCCCTCCAGGCAGCCCCTGTCACTGAATGTCGCATACAGGTTGGTTCCCACTCACCTCAGTTTCATGTAGACACCGCCACTATAGACGGGACATTGTTGTAACGTTGTGTTGGGCTTGTGTGTTTTAAAGGCGCTGCCTGCAGATGCTGGCTGCTGGTCTATTTCTGCCTGGCTCAGTGGGCATCACCGACCCCTGTGAGAGTGGAAACTTCCGGGTGCACACAGTCATGACTCTGGAACAGCAGGTAGGTCTGCTCCTGTGACTTTACTGCAGGCTACACAGAGCATGAGCATCCTACACTTTCAGATGTGTGTCTCTAAAAGTGGTATTCCTCGTGACAGTGCATTGATGTTGAGTTTGTGTGTGTTTATGCAGGACATGGTGTGTTTCACAGCTCAGACACTGGTGAGGGTTCTCTCTCATGGAGGATACAGGAAGATCCTCGGCCTCGAGGGAGACGCCAGCTGTAAGATCATGTCATTCATTGGACATCTAGTGGCATGTTTGATACTTTTGATTACTTTTGATTCTACAAACTGTTCCTGCCTACACCATGAAATAAGTAAATAATACTAATCAGAGTCTTGTGTGACCGTCGCTGCAGACCTGGCAACAGAGATGTCCACATGGGACGGTGTGATCGTCACTCCGTCAGAAAAGGCCTACGAGAAACCTCCAGAGAGGAAGGAGGAGGAGGATGAAGCTCTGGACGAAGGAGGAGATGGAGAGGATGAGAGCATGGAGACCCAGGAGTGATGAGGAGGAGCTAAGGTTGGGGCATCTCTACATTGTAGCACCAACACCTAGCTTTACCAATTCAGATATTTTACAGAATACCATGACATATTATTCATTATTTCCTGATTTTTTTCCTGATGAAAAAATAGGGTTTAAGTTAGACACAAGAACACAAGAACCATTTTACCACTCAGCCCTAATGTTATTTAGCCATGCAGCTTTTGATATCAACCACTACAACACAGTGGTTTGAGTATACTGATGATCACAGGTCCACTAACACACTGCTCTCTTTCCACAGTATAAGCTTACCAGCAAGCCTATTTAAGAAGTCTTTCCAGACGGGCCACGGTGTGTGTTTGGATGTTACCTGGACAGAAACACCAGCAGGAAAAATGTTCCACCTGAGAGCCACTGGTCCCCTGACTAGTATTGTTTATTTTGAGTTTTTATTATGTTTTTACTTTCCCTTTGTTTGGTTTTTACGTCATTGTTGTAACAGTAACACCCTGAATAAACATTTTTTTAATTTTACTTAGCCCGAGTCTTATTTGTGCCAAAGTTAAAGCTAGTATTGATGAGTCAAAGCTCAAAGTAGATCAAACAGTCCAGTCACACGCATGCTCTTTATTGCAAACAGCAATGACCATTAGAATCAAAGGATTTCAGCACAAAGAAATGTAGATGGGTGTAAAGTTTGACTGATGGTCAAGGTCCAAAATGACAACATGCCATCGAATGTTCACTGATGAATGGGTGACTTATTTTTTTTTTAATTAAAAAACTGGCATTAGATCATTACAGGTACAGTAGGTAACCTTTTTATCATATTTAGTGAAATTATCACTATATCCTGACAGTAGTACGAGACAGAAAACCTCTTCCTCCTGCAAGAATCCACAGCGCTTGAACAAAAACCAATCACAGCCAAGGAGTCTCAAATGCACAGCCAAGGCAAGTAAACACAACGGTCTTCTGTGAAAGCTTTTGGTCATCTTCTTTTATGTTTACTTGTCTTGTGTACACTGCTGTGCCCAAGCAGTGATTGACAGCTGCATTAGACTCCCCGCCTAGCATTGGTTGATAGTCTTCTTACATGCATGGTGAATTCTGCAAATGTCATTGGAAGCACAAGGAGGTGCCAGAGGACCGCATGTTGTTTATAGATAGGTCACATCACTCATATGAGGGACTGCTTTCTTAAAACAAACCAGTACCACTTCTCATATCAAATCGTATGCCTCTCTATTGATTGATGATTGGATTAAAATAGCCGATTAAACTGCTCATCCAAAATACAGCATGCCGCTGTCTGGATGGCTGCTCCCATCCCATTTGTGATCTTGCATGTTGTAGTGGTCCCTTGAGAGGTGCCTTGAGAGTCCCCTTACCTTACGTATGTGGAAATTGGTTATATATAAGTATAAGGCATGGTAATAACTGGAAATGCACATTCAATAAAAGCTTTTATTGACAGTTAAAAGTCAAAAAGATTCACATCCAGACTATCATGTTGTATCCCTAAACCCCTTTTAGCTCACTCTGTATCTTTAAATAGTTACTCAGGCTAATGATCCTGCTTGTACTTCCATCTAGTGGCTGCACTTGGAAGCCTCTGACCATTAAATAGCCAAAGACCGTTATCTGCGATGACTGGGAGTAAGCTGTGATGACAGTAGAAAAGAGTGGGAGAGGTGTAGGATCAGCCTGTCTGCAACAATCAGACTTCAGATATGCACCTTCATGAGTACAACACTACATCACAGCTGGATGGCGTCAACAGACCTGAACCTTACAGCCCTCAAAGATCAGTGCAGCAATGCTTTCCTCCTCACAAGACACAGTGTGGAGTTCATTATATTCCTGCATCTCTGTCTCACAGGACAGTTCAGTCACTTAGTGGCTTCCAAAAGCTTAAAGTACAAACTCACCAGGTGTAAACAACAGTGGTTGGGTTTCTATCAAAATCAGCAAAAGAAAATGGGAACATATGTGATCTTATGCGAACATTTGGAGTAGGTTCAGCGAGATAAGCAGAAAAGCAGGCAGCAGATAACGTGATTTAAAAAGGGGCCTAAATGTAAAAATTTCTTAAAATGCTTTGAGTTTTTTTCAAGTTTGTTTGTGTGGGACACAAACACACATCAGCCACAACCCTTCAGCTTTGGTGCTTGGAAAACACCTCGACTGGGTGCTTCACTCACACTTTCTTGTTAGGCTCATGTGTGCTTCCAGCTGATTGATGGTTCTGCGAAGTTCAGCTGACGCCCCGCCCTTCTGCAGAGTGTAGCCCAGCAGAGTGCAGGCATACTGAGCAGCCCTGTGAGTAAAATGCTTTGAGTTTTTTTTCAAGTTTTTATGCGCAAACTTAAAACTCATAAAAATAGGTGGATCGAAACACACCTTGAGTTAGCCACTTGCTAATAAACACAAACATGGTTTACTCTGACTGACAAAGGCGGCTTCCATGAAAGCGAAACATCATGGTTGTTGTTTAAATTGGTTGCCAAGCTCAAGATGATGGGTCTGATCCAACATGAGCCTGTCAAAGGGGACACACTGAGGGGCGAGAAGTAAAGGAAGGAGAGAGGAGTGTTTCAGAATGATAGCCTTCATCCCTGAAGCATTTTGGTTCAGCTTCTGTATGCGTCGATCTGTTAACCTAAATTAATGGAAGCCAACACTGAGCTCAGTTCATGGTGGGCCACAGGAAAGTGGAGCGGGCCTGCCTAGAGACCCAGTCAAACGAGTCATCGCTATGGGGGATAAATGGACCAACTGTACACTCAATGTACAGACTTCACTGAAAGGGAGCCATCTATCAGGGTAAATCAGTGTATTTATTATCAAAGTTTGATTTTGCACTGCTGTGATGTCATTAGTTCCCACCTTGTGGGCCACTGCCAACCATCAGGTGAGTTTAGTATTTTCAACATTCTTCCTGTTATGAATTGTATGAGATCTTAGTACTAAGTATTGGGAGCAGATGATAAAGGACTTTGATGTCGAATGACATCATGGGTAAGGACTAGCTTTGGAGAGTGTGGGCTCTGTGCAGCGCTGCTATGCGTCCATCTGAAGCATGAAGCTGTAACAGTTCAAACATGCAGGTCAGTAATCAGCCGAGAGCTGTTAATCAGTACGTGATGCAGAGTGAAAGAAGCTCCTCATGGATGCAACATGTTTGAGGATATTTGGAGGATTTAAAAGCCCTGCCACTACTCCAAAATGTGATCACCAAATGATCCGTGTGTTAGCCCTGTTAGATTCTCATCTCAGTCCTCCTGGGAGCTCCACTGATGGCCCCCTCCACTGTGTACCTGGGGTCATGGCTTGAGTTTAAGCCAGGGATGGACCATGGTGAGGATGGAGAGGACAGAGGATGCCAGGCCACAGGCACCGACAAAGCCTTGCCCTGTGGGGTAAATCCCCAGCCGGTCCAGTGGGATGAAGATATCACAACTGTTCTTCAGCAGGTCCAGCAGCAGCGGCGGGTTGCTGTACAGGACAGTCACCAGCAGGTGGAGCTGTCTGCGAAACCTCGCCAACATGACAGGCAGGGCAACAGTAGTCAGAGCAGCAGGTGTGGAAGGGGACGACAGGTGGTCAGCTGGCAGGGTGGTGCTGGGGTTGGGTGATGACGGGGATTTGGCGGCTCTGTGACGCCCTTCACACTCAATGAGAAGGCGAAGCTCGTACACATCTCGAGTCAGGTTGAGGATCAGAGCAAAGAGGTAGTACCTGCAGATTTCAACCACATGAGGTGTCACATCAGCCTCAGTTTCTTTAACTACACAAAGAGGGCATACCTTTATTTATTTTAAAAAGTACTATGAATGCATTTGTCTCTACACGACTAACCTGAAAGATCTCTGACTCCATTTCTGCTGGTCCAGTTTGGAGATGAGGCCTGTTTTTCCAGCCCACAGAATATTGTCACAGGCAAAGTACATGGCTCTGTTGAGGTGGCTGATGGTAATGCAGAGCCTTAGCACGCTGTCAGAAAGGTGTATGGCCCTCTTGGCAGACTCCAGCGCCTCTACAGAGTTTCCCAGACGGAGCACTGTGGGACACAAACACACATCAGCCACAACCCTTCAGCTTTGGTGCTTGGAAAACACCTCGACCGGGTGCTTCACTCACACTTTCTTGTTAGGCTCATGTGTGCTTCCAGCTGACTGATGGTTCTGCGAAGTTCAGCTGATGCCCCGCCCTTCTGCAGAGTGTAGCCCAGCAGAGTGCAGGCATACTGAGCAGCCCTGTGAGTACACAACACACATGCTCATTAAGCTGTTCGGACATGTCAGTTCAGTTGATCAAAATGACTGCATCTTAAAATTAAAACACTTAAAGGGACAGCTACCCCAAAATCAAAAAGACGTTTTTCCTCTTACTTGTAGTGCCATTTATCAGTCTAGATTGTTTTGTTGTGAGTCGCAGAGTGTTGGAGATCAGCCGTAGAAATGTCTGCCTTCTCTCCAATATAGTGGAACTAGATGGTGCTCGACTTGTGGTGCTCAAGGTGCCAGTAACATACATTTGAAAAACTCAACAGCGATGTCTCTTCCCAGAAATCATGACCTCCTTACACAAGATAGACCTTGCTGTGAGGAGTTTCATGTAGGAACAATGGAGAATGCCATTGCTGTTTACATCCTGTGCTGTCATGAGCACAAGTCTCTCGTCATGAGTAGATGCAAGCTTCTTCCTGCTCTGTGATACGGTTGGCAGGTGAAGTTCAGTAAAAAGAAAATAGCTCTTACATGAAATTGCTCACAACAAGGTCTGGGGATTATCTTGAGTATCTGGGCCATGATTTCTGGAAAGAGACATTGCTGTTGAGTTTTTCAAATGTATGTTATTGGCACTTTGGGCACAACAAGCCAAGTGCCACCTAGTGCTATTGTAATTGAGAGTAAGCAGACATCTCTACAGCTAATATCTCCAAAATTTGGCTACTAAAACAAACTATGTGTTTTTTATTTTGGGGTGAATACCTGTTGTTCTTTACACAGCTAGCAGACTACATTGTGATATGTAGTGCCATTTAGAGCACTGGTTATTAAGGAAATATAAAAGATATATTGTATTATATATTATTATTTATTTATTATTATATACAGTACAGGCCAAAAGTTTGGACACACCTTCTCATTCAATGCGTTTTCTTTATTTTCATGACTATTTACATTGTAGATTCTCACTGAAGGCATCAAAACTATGAATGAACACGTGGAGTTATGTACTTAACAAAAAAAGGTGAAATAACTGAAAACATGTTTTATATTCTAGTTTCTTCAAAATAGCCACCCTTTGCTCTGATTACTGCTTTGCACACTCTTGGCATTCTCTCCATGAGCTTCAAGAGGTAGTCACCTGAAATGGTTTTCCAACAGTCTTGAAGGAGTTCCCAGAGGTGTTTAGCACTTGTTGGCCCCTTTGCCTTCACTCTGCGGTCCAGCTCACCCCAAACCATCTCGATTGGGTTCAGGTCCGGTGACTGTGGAGGCCAGGTCATCTGCCGCAGCACTCCATCACTCTCCTTCTTGGTCAAATAGCCCTTACACAGCCTGGAGGTGTGTTTGGGGTCATTGTCCTGTTGAAAAATAAATGATCGTCCAACTAAACGCAAACCGGATGGGATGGCATGTCGCTGCAGGATGCTGTGGTAGCCATGCTGGTTCAGTGTGCCTTCAATTTTGAATAAATCCCCAACAGTGTCACCAGCAAAACACCCCCACACCATCACACCTCCTCCTCCATGCTTCACAGTGGGAACCAGGCATGTGGAATCCATCCGTTCACCTTTTCTGCGTCTCACAAAGACACGGCGGTTGGAACCAAAGATCTCAAATTTGGACTCATCAGACCAAAGCACAGATTTCCACTGGTCTAATGTCCATTCCTTGTGTTTCTTGGCCCAAACAAATCTCTTCTGCTTGTTGCCTCTCCTTAGCAGTGGTTTCCTAGCAGCTATTTGACCATGAAGGCCTGATTCGCGCAGTCTCCTTTTAACAGTTGTTCTAGAGATGGGTCTGCTGCTAGAACTCTGTGTGGCATTCATCTGGTCTCTGATCTGAGCTGCTGTTAACTTGCCATTTCTGAGGCTGGTGACTCGGATGAACTTATCCTCAGAAGCAGAGGTGACTCTTGGTCTTCCTTTCCTGGGTCAGTCCTCATGTGTGCCAGTTTCGTTGTAGCGCTTGATGGTTTTTGCGACTCCACTTGGGGACACATTTAAAGTTTTTGCAATTTTCCGGACTGACTGACCTTCATTTCTTAAAGTAATGATGGCCACTCATTTTTCTTTAGTTAGCTGATTGGTTCTTGCCATAATATGAATTTTAACAGTTGTCCAATAGGGCTGTCGGCTGTGTATTAACCTGACTTCTGCACAACACAACTGATGGTCCCAACCCCATTGATAAAGCAAGAAATTCCACTAGTTAACCCTGATAAGGCACACCTGTGAAGTGGAAACCATTTCAGGTGATTACATCTTGAAGCTCATCGAGAGAATGCCAAGAGTGTGCAAAGCAGTAATCAGAGCAAAGGGTGGCTCTTTTGAAGAAACTAGAATATAAAACATGTTTTCAGTTATTTCACCTTTTTTTGTTAAGTACATAACTCCACGTGTTCATTCATAGTTTTGATGCCTTCAGTGAGAATCTACAATGTAAATAGTCATGAAAATAAAGAAAACGCATTGAATGAGAAGGTGTGTCCAAACTTTTGGCCTGTACTGTATTTCCTTTGCTGTTGCTTTGAATAAATCAGCAGAGTAAGGAACATGGATTTCTGGATAGCAAAACATGAGATGTCCATATACAGATCATTCTTATCAGGCTTAAACTTTTTCAACAACTGCGCCCTGATAACAGGCAAACCGGTTTAACCAGTGATCTTTTATGAAAGATTACTGAAGGACCAAGCCAGTTTGGAGAGAGAGGTTTTCATGGTAACTCCCCACCGTGTGTTTTACTTGAATCAAAGTGAAAGCAAGGGGAAGATACGATTCAAATGCACTTGTTTTGTTATAACAACATGGAGAACATGAACTTAGACTTACTTCATATTCATTAACAGCCCTCTGAAGTGAATGTCAAAACAGTCTGTTAGCTACAGTGAACTTTACTTAAAGACCAAAGGCAGAATTTATCTTTCAAATTAAATATATAAAATAACTTGAGCAACCCAGTTGATGTCAACCTTTCTCTGCTCTCTGCAGCTGACGTTACAACAAACTAGCAACTGTTTGTTCATTATGCTAGCAGATATGTAACGTTAGCGTTAGCTAACTAGCAAGTTAACACCAGCATCTGTTGCTAACATAAAGTACAATTTCAAAAGTTATCGTTATAGTTAATAAAATGAGTGACATTACCTTATAATTCTCTCCTTGGCTTGGCTCTGGGCGTTAAACCTAACCCAGGAGTCCATACTGGCGGGGTCCTCTTGGCCTTTAAGAGCTGCTGCTAAACTAGCTGTCAACCTGCTCCCTGTTTATGTCGGCGACTGATTAGCTGCTAGTTAGCAGCTAATGTTGCTAGTGCTGTCAAAAGCTGAATTTGGAGGAGAGCTTTAATGACAGAAGATTTAACTATTTATAATCCCGCTTTCCTTCCACACAGATAGGACTTTAGTCCGTTCAACCTATTCTTCTTCGTCCTCGTTTTTACCTACAGTTAAGAACTTAAGACAGGTTTTAGGTGAATTACCGCCACCTGCTGGACTGGAGCTGAGGCTTAGCGGTAAAGCAAAGGGAAAAATACAAAAATCTCTCTCATAGATGTAGAAACATATATGAAAATATATTTTAAAAATATAAAATATATAAAAATATATTTAAAAAACAAGAATCGACACTTCTTCTTCTTCTTCTTCTATAATGGTGGTTGGCATCCAAAACTATGTAGTACTGCAACCTACTGGATTTACACAAAGGTCTCCACTTACTATATAAAGTAATAATAATAATGATAATAATAATAATTAAAATAAAATAAGCCTTTCCCATCAGTTCCCACTCTATTAATTTCCTATTTTCTGATTGTTTGTGAGCGCCTTAAAAACCTCTCTCAAAAGCTGCTGTACATCTTCTCCAGGAACACCCCAAACCCTCAGAAATCTCCTTGCTGCATCTATGATAATCTCAATTTTCTCTCTATTGTCAGTTAATAACTGTTATCACAGATACCAAAAACTTCATCTGGTCCAAACACAAGCAATATTCCTAATGGCCCCTTGCTGACTTGTCCCTCATGGCCTCCTGCCACACATCCTATCTTGTCCTACCTACTTTCTAATGTTCATGTCTTCCCTTCGTCTGGGCTTTGATTATTTGTGCCTCGATTCACTGTCTCTGGACAGTTAGCTTTCCATGCTGTGTGACTGCCTGTGTACAGACCACACTCTGGTTCTTTCTCACCATCTCTTTCACATTCATTCTCTCCACAGTTACCACATGTCTCATAATCACTCCTACACAAATAGACTCTGACCAAACTTTCAACACTTCTTACACTGAAGCAGTCTGGGGATATACTGTCTTACTGGATACGATACATGGTCCAAAAACACTCTATTCGGCAAGTAAAGAAGAGGTGTGCTCTCTCTGTCTTATACTTTCCACGAAGGCGTGTGGAAGAGGCTTTTTGTGTAGGCCTAAAGAAAGGCAGAGGGGCCCCAGAAGTGAGCCATGCCACCAAATATAATACTGCAAATGGAAATAAAGTTTTCTTGGACTAAAGTGCCTCTGATTGAAACACAGTGAAGTCAGGGTTGTATCTCTCCTCCTCAGTAGGACCAATGTGCTTGTTTCATTTGGACACTCTGTCAGCACTGTTAACTGTATTGCAATATGAAATCAACAAAGTAAAAATATGACAATACCATTTGTTTATCTTATTTTAATATACAGTCAACATTACAAGAGCAGCACATCTTTACAATAAAATAGCTACAAAATTAAAATAACAATATTCTAATGTAGCCAAATCCAGTTTTTTTTAGTACATATATTCTTGTAAGTGTCAGAATAAACATGTTTAATGTTTTATGAATGGGATGATGTATATATTTTTCTCTCAGATTGTGTCACCAGTTGGACACTGAACATTATAAATGAATGGTAATGGTTCATCCGCGATTTCTTATATGAGATGAAATCAGATTTGATTCAGTAAAAATAAATAAAATAAAAATAAATGAATTAAATACCTGTAACCCAAACCTGTAAAATAAGATTGGTCATTTTCCAATACATCCTGACCATTGATCCTGACAGACATTGTAACTCCCTGTGATTTTTCAATATGTGCAAGAGAAAGACTTTATCCAGCCCTCTATCTGTGTGCACTCAGCACAGTGTAGAGACCAGCATAGTCTACGGTGAGGATGTGCAGGCTGTGACGAACCAACAGGAAGGTGCACAACTGTTTAGTTAACTCTGCAATTCAAAGTCAGTCTTTCAAATTCATGTTATTATGATGAATCTAGTTATTGTTATGATCATTATTATCACATTAGAGTGTCAAGAAATGCTGGCTTCAACCAGAGAATCCTATTGGTTTTTCAGGTCCCTACAAAGATTCATTGAGAACAGTATTAACTGTCTGGTCACAGTTCAGACTGTAACAGCAATATATAAATACCACTGAGGCAACAAATATTAAAGGGACAGTTCACCCCCAAATCAAGAATACACATTTTCCTCTTACCTGTAGTGATGTTTACAAGTCTAGGTTGTTTTGATGTGAATTGCGGAGTGTTGGAGACATCAGCCATAGAGATGCCTGCTTTCCCATGAATACAATGGAACTAGATGGCACTCAGCTTGTGGTGCTCAAAGCAGAAATCACTACCTGGTTACTCAAGACAATCCACATACCTTGCTGTGAGCACTACACTACTACCGAACTACATCTGACAACTGTATCACCGCACAGATGAAAGTGTGCGTCCACTGATAGCTCACCTAGCACCACTGAGCTAGCTAACGTTACAGCTCAGCTGAGGAGGATGCCAGGAGATGTAAATTAATGCTTACATCTTTACACTTTTAATGTCAGGAGCACAATCCTCTCATCCATGAGTAGATGCACGCTTCCCTCTGAGCAGTGACATCATCATCAAACTGCTCACAACAAGGTCTGTGGATCATCTTGTTTCAAATATATTTGTCAAGTGCCATCTAGTTCCTTTATCCTGGGGAGAAGGCAGACATCTCTATGGCAGATATCTCCAACAAAATTAAGAGGAAAATACGTATTTTTTGAGGGGTGAACTGTCCTTTCAAAAAGGCCAAAGGCCATGAATTGACGCCAATTTCTCAAAATGGTTGCCAATGGCAACCTGTCAGCAGTTACTGCCAAGCCCTGTATATAAAGACTGCTATTATTGTAAACACAAAAGACACTCACATAAGGAGAAGTGTCATCTGTGTTTACACTGAGACACTGCTCATTATTTACACATTTGCTTTGGTCCATGCAAAAAGACGACATCATTGCACAGCAGCACCTGTCTGATGAGGCTCAGAATAATGTGTGCTTGCAGATCGGCACCACCAGGATAAAATGATTGGATTGATCAGTCAAAGTATTTTTTTGTTTTCATTTTCAAGTCTTTTTATTACAACGCGTTTTTATACTGATACATAGTATACTGTATTCATACTATCAAACCACAGAAGTGACAACCAACCATATTAATCAACCATTGTGTGGAGCAGTCGGGTTTCACAGTCGGGTTTCACAAACGTCAGACCACAGATATGAGGTGGACTTGAGAATGCCTTCTTTGCATCCAAATTTGAGCTCTTGGAGAAAGCGGCCTCGGGTCTGGAGAAACTGGGATGCTTTATTTAACGAGTCATCATTTCTGAGGTGTTTCCTGGAGAGAACTGAGTCATCTGGTTGTAATTTTGAGGAAAACAGAGACAACGTTCTATTGGTACACTTCCAATTAACTGCTGGTGTAATCCAGTCTTTTTTTATTTAATCGTTACAGAGCAGTTGAAAAATGTGACCTCTGTGTAAAGACAAGCAAACAGTCCAACCTATGTGGAGAATAAAGTGTCCGATAATCTATGAATAATGAATGTTTATCTGGGTTTATATAAAGAAAGCCCTACTTTCCAAATGAAACTGTACTTTCAAGGACACTTCCTTGGAAATGATTAGGAAATGACAGACTCATTAAATGAAGCGTAATCCAGAAAAACTTTTCAGTTGGGCTAAATGTAAAAAGACACACAACAGTAAGATAAAACCAAAACAAAACCCTGACAAGCTGTCCTGCAAACAACTGGATAGTACCAGCTTCATAGAGTCAAACTGCAGGTTCAGAAGCAGTAATGATACAATGGAGCTTGGTCTTAATTGTCTAGACATTTTTACACATAGAGATGCACAAATAGGTGCTTAATGGAAAGCATTTCTGGACACATCATGGAAATGGAGTGATTTGATTGTAGAGAGATGGGGATAATCCTCTGATGATGATGATGATGATGCTCAATATCTGAGAAAGCCTACTTAAAAACTTGTACCTCCCTGAATATGGGCAGAAGAGAACAGATAAATATGACATCTATTTGTGTTGTCCATGCTAAGATTAAAATAGTGCAAAGCGTACTCATTCATAGTTTACACTCACAAAAGACTAAGGCAATAAATAATACTACTCAGGTATGATGAGTGCTTTGTTAATAGTTTTTCTATCTCTATAAACCAGTTGGACACATTGTGAACTACGCAGATACCTGAGGGAACCACAGAATACCATCAAAAGATTTTGAACAGCTGAAAACCAAATCACAATGTGCAACATGAATCTTCATGTGTCGAAAGACAAACTTGTGTCTGTCTTACAATCCAGTGTTGGTGCATCTACGGTTGATAACAAAAAGGCACAAATCACAAATATGCATATGGCTGATGTTTGTAAAGCAGCTGAATCAGATGACAAATGTCTCGTCTCACCGGCCCACGGATAAAGTGGTTGGTACATTTTTTTCACATTTGGATCTATATCAACAAACATACTCCCTGTGTAGCACAGTTGGATTTGTCCAAAGATTGTACCTTTTGACATTGATTACATTTGTACCCTTTTGTTGGGGCAAGTCTGGTGGATGCATCAGGAGAGCAGATCTCTTTCTACATGGTACACTCAGCCAACATGCGATCTCAGACCAGTTCTTTGAACTCTGATTTTTATCCTCCTTCTGTGTTTATGTTTCTTTTTTTCTTATCATTTAGACAACTGATTAGCTCTTATCATGGCTGCCACTGAATCTTCCAGGTCATTTGACTCAGTTAGGGAAAAAAAGATTCAACTGAGCCAATCCTATAAATGCTGCTCATGGTTCCAACTCCCAACTCATTTTACAATCATTTCAAATAAAGAGCGCCCTGGTATTACAGAAGCAATCCTCAAACTGCTTTCAAAGCACAATGACGACGCTTTATAATAACCACTATCAATAAATGGTGAATTGATAGTATATTTAATATTGTTAAGTAATCATTAGTAATGCTAACAGTTTATAGTTGCACACATTAATTAATTCATTTTCCGTAACCACTTTGAGGGTCGCAGTGAGGCTGGAGCCTATCCCAGCTGACATTGGGCGAGAGGCGGGGTACACCCTGGAC